TGAGGGGGGATTTCAGTGCAAGTCTAGCTGAGGAGTGTAAAAATCTGTACACAAAACACCCAAATTAGAAACTGGGTTTCAGTTTAGTCTGTTCTTTCCCTTTTTTCCTCCGTGTTTGGGAACATTCATATGAGCAGCTTTAAACGACCCACAGCCAAGGTTCAGTCTATACAGACAATCAAAAGGCAGAGCAGGTATGATACAAACTGAAGAGAAAAATCACATGAACTCCACAGCCCAACTGGCTTGTCTACAGTGTGGGTCTGTGTATCTCTGCAGTGCTTCCAAGTGTGCATTTTTATGCATCTGTCGTATACAATATGTGTGTGTAAGTAAGTGTAGGGGTGGGCAAATTGCATCATCAGTGATTCTGTGCGTTCCTGCCGTGCTTTTTGCTTGTGTGTGATTGTACCGCCAATAATTGTGGTGGTGTGTGTTTGTAGCTCTTCAGGAGTGTTGGTTTGTGCCCCTGCAGTGGGTATGTGAATGTAGCTGCAGTGTACGAGGTTTTGCTTGCGTCACTGTCACTCTGCAGAGTATTTGCATACTGATGGATGTGTGCGGCTGAACAAACGGATGTGAGCCGGCCATGAACGAACCGGGGAGGGGGGGAGGTTCTGGACGAGCCTCCCCAAAGTAGTTGTTGGAGACAGAGCTGGACAAATTTAAGAGTGCAATGGTAGGACGGGTACTTGTGATGATGGGAGGCAGGGTTCACTTCTGGTTCGTCTTATGTTCCTAAAAGCTCAGGCTACAGGGTTTCAGCTGGCCACTGGCAGAGGTCAGGAAAGGAAGGGTTTTTTTCATCTCTTTGCTCTGAAGCATCAGCGATGGCCACAGCTGGAGATGGGACACTGGACTGGGTGGGCCAGGCATGGAGCATTCTTTCTCTCCGGTGCTTGGCTGGGCTGGTTCTTGCTCACATGGTCAGGGTCTCACTGATTGTCATATGTGGGGCTGGGAAGGAATTTTCTCCCAGGTCAGATTGGCCGGGATCTTGGGGGGGTGGGGGGTCACCTTCCTCAGCAGCCTGCGAGTGGGGTCACTTGGCAGGATTATCGGGGTGTATCTCATTTAATAATTCCCTGCCATCACAGGGACCTCGGGCACTGAGGCACCTCAGTCCCTCCTATTCACTGCCTGTGGCACAGCACAGTCTAGTCTCCTGTGGGCTGTAACGCTTGGGTTGTTGGGTAGTGTGTGCATGCTGGGTAGCTTGTGACCCGCTGGTGGCCAGACTAGATGATCTGGGAGTCCCTTCTGGCCTTAAACTCTATGGTTATCTCTGCACTGGGACCCCATGAGCGGGGAGGGTCCCAGACCCTGGGCTCCAGCCCAAACCTCAATGTCTCCACCTCAATTTTACAGCCCCGCAGCCCAACCCCCGCCCCACCAGGCCAAGTCAGCTGGCACTGGCCAGCCATGGGTGTTTAACTGCAGGGTAGATAGACCCTGGATATATTGGCAGTGGGTTATAGTGAGTTTGCAGCTATAGGGATGATATATGCTGCTATCCTTGAAGTGTGTGTGTAGCAGTCTCTTACTGTTGTTATATGGGCTCTGTACAACAGGTTAATGGATCATCCCTTAATCAGAGGGCCAGTTCCAGGTGTGCCTCTCACCTGTCCCCTATATAAAGATTCACAGGGGAGTGGTGCTCTGAATAGGCTATGTGCTAGTAGGCATGTGTTGAAGTGTGTCACAGTGGCTGCTGGTCCTTTGGATTTCCTCCTTTGCCATGGTGTTGCATTTTGGCATTTGGCCTATATTCATAGGCCTTATCTGGGTAGCAGAAGGTAAGGGGAAATTCTGCCTCTTCCATAAAGCTGTTGGCTTTTTCCTGTGTCCCCATTAACAGCTTCTGCTCTTGCTCCTTTTAGGGTAGCTCTAGGGGACATGGGAAAGCCCCAGAGTGTGTTTAAGGCTCTGCTTAATCAGCCCCTGAGCTGTAAACATGTAACTTCACTACATAATGTAATGTTTGGAACCTCAGTGCTTTCTGCCTCATTAAATGAGTAATGGACTAGCAAGGAGTAGGGGTGGAGCATGCCTCATGCTGGAGTTTGCTGAATGGCTTGGAGATGCGCTGGTGTTTCTGTGGATCAGAGTAAATGTCAACTGAGAACTCCCATGTTGGTGCTGGGGCTACTTCAAAAACTCTGAGCCTAATGGAGATAGGCTCTGGAGTGGCTCACTGCTAATGAAGTGACCCCCTGCTATGGGAGTAGAGTTGTCCACCTGCCCACTTAGGCTGATGGGGAAGCTTAATTAGAGAAGCGGCTGGGCTCTACAGTGCAGTTCCAGAGAGTCTAGGGCTGTATGTCTGGGTCTGTGGCTTTAATTAAGGATGGTCTCTAACTTCATTCTTGGCTTTGCATAAAGAGTAAGATGTCAGGGTGGCTTCCTTTGAAAAGGATCCCATTGGGTAGCTGATAAGATTGATCTTCTATTAATACTATAGTGGCTGCTTTAGTCTCATTAGTGATCTCATCCCCTCCTATTTTGGCAAGCTTGGCTCTATTGGTTTTGCTAGGGCTTGGTTAAAGGAAACCACCTAGCTTCTTGAGCCAGGAAGCTGTTATCTAGCTAGCGCTATGGTGCTTCTAGCCCTCAACAGGTGATATCTCTGTTCAAGGGGGTCCATCTGCCCTGCTCCAAATGGGAGCTCTGAGGAATACTAGCTAGAGAGCAATAGCTGTACCACTTTAAACATCAGGGCTTTGTTCTTTTAAAGACTTTTATAAGGGTGGGATCCATGGTGGGACTTGGGTACTGCAATGTTGAGTGTCACAGTGTAACCTGTGGGCAGCCTAGCGTTCACTTCATTGTCCTTCTGCTTAAAAGCCCAACTCCCATGGAAAAGCACCTGGAGACCCAGAAATCATTCTAAGGATTTTCTGCAAGGATTGTACAGGGTCAAACTTCCTACTTCTCCCTCCCTCTTCTCCCCCCCCCCTTAACTTAAGTACCAACTTTATAAAATGAGAAACAATTAACATGGCTATTTTATAAGCAACATACTTTATCTTCTGTTTAGACTGAATTTGTTTTTTATGTATAACTGGTCAGTCCCCACAAACTCAGTAAGAAGAAACTCCATTACCAAAAGCTTAGGTTGAATTCACCTGAGTCTGTTAGTCTTTGATCACTAAATGTATAGATTCTGCTGAGTCAAAAGCAACTTCTTCCCTCCATTTTCTTGTAGAAATTTTCAGCTGGAAGCTATGCAGACTCCTCTGAAATCACTCCATTGAGCTAGTCAGCTGCTAACCAATTAACCAGCCACTGAGTTAATCATGTAGATTTAAAAAAAAACTTGCATGCAATATTAATAGCAAAATAAATGACCCTTTCCCCACTGTCGCACTTAAATAAGAGGCAAGGTGGTGAATTGTACTTGTTGAGACCATTTAACTAAAACAGTTTGGCTAAAATCAATCCCTCCATTTATACAATTAAAATAAATGAGGGGAAATGGGGAGGGAAAGCTTTCTGTAACCAACACTGCTAGGGCTTCCCTGGTGGAGAGCTAACCATATCACTAGCCTGCTGCAAAGCGCTTCAGAGTTTGGGACAACAGCCTGTGTCCTGGTGCTGGGCTCAGCTTCTCCCAGCCTACGCTGGGCACATGGCTGTTGGCAAAGCAGCTGCCCTGACTGCTCACCCCCATGGCGGCTGACCCCAGCAACAGCGAACCTACTGGTGTACCCAAAACTACCATACCCAATTCCAGAAATTTCTGAGTGTGGTGAGTTCATGGTGCCTCTGCCTAGCAACAATGAACTGGCCCCAACTCCTTCCTATCCCCCACAATAGAGCTCTTAAAGAGACCTCTCCCTATTAGGCCTGTGGGTTAAAGAGCACAAAGGAAATCAAGGAACAACATGGATCCACAAAGCCAAGTGAGATGCCCAAGCTCCCTGGGCGATCTCTGGGGAGAGGTGCCTAAGAAGGGGCTCCATGAAGGCCAGCCCACTAGGTAGGGCGCTGCCTAAGCTAGCCAATGAGATGCTGATTACAGTGGTGCATGGTTCTGCATGAGCCATGAACATGGTCAGGTGGTTTAGGCCCCTGCCTTGGTCCCCACACAGCACGAGAGGTGTGGTGTGCCCCATCTACCCAACTCTTAGCCCAGGGGCTAGAGCTTTCTCTTGGCATGTGGGAGACCCAGGTTCAGTTCCCCCTTTGCCTGATGGTGGGACAGGAGAGCACCCTCCCCACTAAGTTGTGGGATGTCCCTCAGTCTCTCCTGTTGAATCAGTTCCATTCTGGGAAATGAGAGAGCAGGAGACTGGGCCTGGGGTCTCCTAAGTGGGCACCCTAACCAGCAGCTTGGCCTGGGGGTGGGGAGGCAGCTGAGCCTGGCTCTGGGGGTGCTTGGTGGGGCTGGGCCTCAGGTGGAAGGGGTGGGGGGGGCTAGCCTCCCTGAAAGGGGGGGTTCACCCACTGCTCATGTAGGATTTCAACAAGGGTCTCCATTTTCCTCCTCCATTGGCCAGAATTTGAATGGGGCTGGATCCAGCAAGCAGCCTCTGAGCATGCCCTGCACATGACACCGGTCTTCCCCCTGGCTTGTGAATCGCTCTAAGGTTTAGGTGCCCGCATGCCTAGAGGGACGAGAGGCAGCCGTGCATGATGTGCCCTGAGGCAGAAACGTCGGTGCCGAGGGAGCTGAGGCACTTGCAGGGTTTGGCAGGAGTTTTGTGGATTGTAGCAGTACCGAACTTGGGACTGAAGCACCTAAGGCTGGGCATTGAGATGCCCAAGTAGCCTTGTGGATCGGGGCCTAAACATCTGTCCCTTGACTAGCTGCCAACTTGCCTCTTGCTGATGTTAGTAACTTGCTGATGACCTTGGTCATGCTGTTTAACCTTGCTGTGCCTCCATCTCCTTAATGAGGCTGAAAATGCCTAGTGCTTGGGGCAATGGCAGATCCTAGAGGGGCTTTAGGAAGTGACTGAACATAATGAGGAGGGAGTGTTGACTCTTCTTGGTGTAAAATGCCCCACAATTCTTGGGGATTTCCCTCGGATTGTCGGGGATCTGAGCGGATCAAAGATGGTGAGGCCTAAGCTTAGCTACCTTTACAAAGTTCTATATATAAAAGTAGCCGGATAGCTTAATTCTTGAAACTTTGAACTGTCTTCTCTCCTGACTCAGCTTGATGTTTCTGAATCTCCTGGGCCCTCGTGATATCTGCCTGCTCCCTGCTGAGTGGATGTGGTGCAAATGAATCCTCACTAAACAGCAACTAACCAGGGTGGCTGCAATACTTCCATAGTGGCTGAGTGCTATTCACTGAGTGTGGGCTCTGGAGCATCTGTCAGGGACAGTCAAAATCCTGGACTTTTCAAAAGGACTTGGCCCATTGCTTTGAGACTGCACCAGCAGCTCCTCTTGTGACCTGGGCACCCCAAGGGTGAGACCTTTCCAGAGTTGGATTGGCGGTGCCTGGTGGCTAAAGGCCGGCTTGGTAAAAGTGACAAGCTGTGAGAACAGCATGCATCTGCCAGATCCGGCCTCTACTGCCCAGAGCTGTATCTGTTTCCTTTCCTGGCTCCTGTGGGCCCTGCAAAGCCAATATTGCTGTGGGAGAGGGAGCTGTATTCTAGTCTGGTTTGTCCTTGGTGTAGCTGGTGCTACCCCCATTTCCAAGGACCCAATTTGAGACTGCCCTAGTGCCCTGATCCAGGCCTGACTCTGAGTGGGGGGTGATCAGCACTCTGAATAGCCGCCCCCTCAAATCAGGCACCCACAATCCCAAGTCACTCCCGAAACTGCAGCTGGAGTGGGGGTGAGTGGGTTAGATGCTGCTTGGGGTGGAATGGACGTGAAACCATCTCGATGCCTATCCCTGACCTACCCCAAGAGGGGATGGGAGTGAAATCTCCAATAACTTATTTAATCTCCCTCCTTCTAGCTCTCCCTACAGGAGGCCTTGGCAACTCCCTCCAGCTCCAAAATCCTCAACATGCGGATGGGAATCCACCCGCGAGTGATGAGATCCTCGACATTAACCAAGGTGGGAAATCCCCTTGTGCTTTGAGGCACTTGTGTCTGTGGATCCCTCTGAAATCTGAATGCTGGAAGCTCTCACTTGCTGGGACCGGTTCTGCCCGGGTGACCATGTCTGTATGACCAGGAACGCCATCTTCATACCAGCCAGTGTATGCTGTGTACATGTGGGCAGGCTCCCTGCCTCAGCTGAGGCTCTGCTGAGGGTGGCTTGTCCCAGCAAGTCTCCAGCAGTGTCTTGGTGTGGCACAGTAACCTGAGAACCGCCCTGCTCAGCCCATCTCCGGCTGAGGTCTAGCAACTCTTGCTGGCGCTCTGCGTCTCTAACTCCCCTGGGAGTGGGCAATGGGATGCCTGTGATAATGCAAGCTGTGATAACAGTGGCCAAAAACATCGGACCCAATCCCCCCCTGGGGGGGCAAGGGGAAGAGTGTGTTGGGTGGGGGAGGAGGGGAGAGTGAGTGGTGGTAACGAAGCATAGGCAGTGGACACTGCCAAGAAGCAGGCCCATGCTGACTCCTAACAAACTGGCTGGGTGGAGCTTCCTGTTGTCAGGATGCAGGAAATGTTCTGACTCTGGGCTGGCTGCTCACCTGGTGATGTACCTTCCCCCTGAGGCATGGAGTGATTCAAATGACGGGGGATTCTCCTACTTCCAGAGCTCATTCCTCCAGAAGCACCAGCGAGCAGCTTCCTGCTGGAGGGAGACATCGTCAAGGTGGTGAGTGACCCTCCGGGGGTGAGGGGTGAATAACAAGGCAGGGTCACTGAGGCCATATCTGCTGTTGTCAGGTCTCTAACCCTGAGCAGGGGGCTGCTGGCAGAACTGGGTCAAGAATTGGGAGCCCGACTGGTGTTCCCGACTGTAGGTCCGTGCATTTGCTACAGCAGCATTCAAGCAAGATGCACGCCCTGCCCTGGGGAGAAGGGAAGCACAGAGAAGTAGTCAGCGGGGCACAGACAGCCCTCTCAACTAGCGTAGTGTCTTGGCTTTCCTTCTAAAATCTCACTAGCTGTGGTGGCGGCAGAGAACAAACTCAATGGAAAACCAGTTCCACCAATGCAGAGATGTTTCACCCCCTTACCTATTGTTTGCAGAGGGCCTGAACAGCCCCATTTGTTGAGTGCTAAATCAGCTATTGTGTGACGATTTAGATGTCAGTATTCACAATCTTCACTGCTCAGAGCGTGTAAGAGAAGCAGTACTGATGCTGGTGTTACAAAGTGTGGGGAGAAGGACTCCTGAAGATGTGGATGGCTCTGCTGTGCAGGGGGGTGACTGTTCATTTTCCTGCTGTGGGGGGTTTGGCTTCCAAAAGTCTGGGCTTGGGGACCAACAGGGTCCTGAGCCCTGCTGTGGTCCTGGTAGAAGATGAATTGACATGAAATTATATCAAATTATGAAGGAGGAATATAAAAACCACAAGCATGTAGGGATGAAATTAGGAGGACCAAGACAATGAACAAGACTAAACTAACTAGGGGCATAAGAGTAACAAGAACATTTTACAAATACATTAGAAGCAAGAGGGAGACCAAGGATGAGGTGGTAAGCGGACAATAACAGAAAATGCTGCAATGACTAAAGTGTTAAATGCCTTTTCACACACAAAATTAGCAGTAATTGGATTATTAACCTGGTGAACATCAGTGTAAATGGGGTAGGATCTGAGCCTAACATAGGGAAAAACAAGTTAAGAATTACTTAGGCCAGGTCTACATTACAGACCTAAATCCCTATAACTATGGCATTCAGGGGTGTGAAATCCACCAACCCAATCCCCCCTGGAGACAGGGATATCCCTATGGGAGCTGCTCTCCCGTCAGTGTAGTAGCATCTTCAATAAAGTGGCACAGCTGCATTGGTGCAGTGTGCTCCTGGACATGAAGACCAACCCCAAAACAAGGCTGTCTTGCATGCTAGAATACTTAAAGAACTGGCTGGAGAGATCTGAGTCATTAACAATTATCTTTGAGAATGTAGAGATCCCAGAGGACTAAAGGGCACAATATTTTCCCCCTATCTATAAAAGAGGAATAAGGACAACCCAGGGGACTGTAGACCAGTCAGTTTATCTTTGGTACCCAGAAAGATAATGGCACAAATAACCAGTTTGCAAGCACCTAGAAGAAAATAAAGTGATCAGTCGGCATGGATTTGTTAAGAACAAATCCCTGTCAAAGGAAGATTTGAAGTTGGTTTGACGGGGTAAGAAGCCTTGTGAATAGGGATGAAGCAGTAATGTGATATGGTCTCACATGTCCTTCCCATAAACTAAAGCAACATAGCCTAGATGAACCTACCATTAGGCAGGTGCACAACTGATTGGAAAAGTGTACTCAATGCTTCAGAGTCAAGCTGGAGGGGCATATTGAGTGGAATTCTGAAGGGATCTGTCCTGGGTTTAATTCTAATCATTTATGAAAATATTGGTTTGGATAATGCCATAGGGTACACTTAAAATTTGTGCTGGATACCATGCCGAGAGGGGGTTGCAAGCACTTTGGAGGACAGGATTAGAATTTGAAATGATCTTGACGTACTGGAGAAACTGTCTGAAAGAAATGGATGAAAGGCAACAAGGACAAATGTGATGTCTGAGATTAAGAAGGAATGAGTTGCCCCAAATACAAAATGGGATGTGATTTGCCTCAGAAGAAGTAGAGCAGAAAAGGCTCTGGGAGTTGTAGTGGATCTCAAACTTAATGAGTCCTCAATGTTTGGTGGGTTGTTGCATTTTGCAACAATATTCCCCCATTCTGGGATGTATTAGCAGGATTGTTGTAAGCAAGACATGAGAAGTAGCTTTCCACTTCTGGTCAATTTCAGTCATAGGAATTTAAAGATTTAAATCTGAAAACTCAGTGTTGTAATTGTAGGGATCCTGACCAAAAGAGTTGTGGGGTGGTCACAAAGTTGGGGGGGGGGAGGGCACACTGCAGTACCACAACCTCCTACTTCTGCACTGCTGGTGGCGGCGGCCCTGCCTTTAGAGCTGGAGAGCTGTCTGCTGCTGGCTGGGAGCCCAGCTCTGAAGGCAGAGCTGCTGCCAGCATCAGTGGAGGAGTAAGGATGGTACAGTATGGTATTGCCACCCTTACTTCAGCGCTGCTGCTGGAGGGGCGCTGCCTTCAGAGCTGGACACCTGGCCAACAGCCGCTGCTCTCTGGCTGCCCAGCTCTGAAGGCAGCACAGAAGTAAGGGTGGCAATATCATGGCCCCTCTAAAATAACCTTGCAACCCCCTGCAACTCTTTTGGGTCAGGACCCTGAATTTGAAAAACACTGGTCGCCTCCCCTGTGAAATCTCTGTAGTAGTGGCTAAAAGCACACAGAACCAATTTTTCATAGCGGGGAGACTGGATTTCACAGTCTGACATGTTTTTCATGGCCATGAATTTGATAGGGCCCTACTGATAAGGCTTCAGCTGCAGTATTGTGTTCAGTGCTGGGCACTACATTCCAAGAAAGAAGTACTTCTGGGGACTTCCTCCAATTTGTCCACAACACAAATGATATTAAAGGTCTAGAACACATGGGCTTATTTCTTCTAGAGAAGACTGAGGGAGATGTAAAGAGTAGGCTGATAAAGTGTTCCCCTTAACACTGGGGACAGGACAAGGGGTTTAAACTGTAGCAAGGGACAGTTAGGTTAGACATTGGGGACAAACTTCCTAACTGTCAGGGTAGTTAGTTTTGTTCCAGTGTTTACCTAGGGAGATTGTGTAATCTGACATTGGAGGCTTCTTAAGAACCAATTAAGCTAAAACCTGTCATGGGTGGTCTAGATAGTACTTGAGTGCAGGGGACTGGACCGGGATGACCTATTGAGGTCCTTTCCAACCCTGCATTTCTGTGACTTCAGGGCTTGCCAATACTTCTAGCAAGCCCTCTGCTCAGCTTGAGAATCTCACATCAGATTCTGGCTGAAGCAGTGTTCAGCTCCAAGGACCTGATGAAAGGGTGTGGGGGGTGTGGGTGTGTGTGTTGCAATGGGACTAAAACACAATAACCATTTCACAATGCAAACACAGCAGCAATAGAGGGGGGGCTCTCACTGTAGAGGACATGAGATTGCTTCCCCTTGTGGTTCACTCAGTGTCCTTTCCCTCTGTTCCCAGTACAGTATATGCAGCTTGCAGCAGCTAGTACAGTTAAATTGTATTAAGTGGCAGCCACTAACTAATCTTGACTGGCTGGTAATGGGTGTTCGGGGAGGAACATAGTAGGGGCACACTCAAACTTGGCAGGTTCCTCTAGTCTTGGTGGGACTACTGGTTGGAGAGTCCAATCCTAGGGACACCTGCCCACCAAACCAGCTTGTTTCTCTTCCTCCTGCTCCAGAGTCCTTTCAGAGTGTTTTCATCTGCAAGCCCAAAATGGCCAAAGAGAAGAGGAACGGTCCAAATTCCCTACATCATCTCCTACAAATATGGTAGGTGGTGTCTAGTGCTCAGAAGCCCTTTCCTGGAGTGCAGGTTCCAGGTCTGGGGTGACCAGCATTAGCTAGAGACCAACAGGAGAATCCCTGGGGAGCAGAAAGGTGCTTATAACCAGTAACAGTTGGCCTTTGGCACTACAATCCTGAAAGCCCAGAACAAAGTAACCCCCTTGCCTATCTGGCTGGGGTTTCTCTCCCATCCAGCTGTAGGAACACAGACTTGCTGCTGCCTGGCCCTCTATGGAAGGAGTTTCACTAGGGACTAATCACTAACTTATCAGACTTCCTACACCAGTTTGGAGCTGGCTTGTCACCAGTTCCAGAGAGCTCCTGTCCCTCCAGGAACACTGAGTGTTCCACTAGCCACAAAACTGGATGCTTGAAATGGCACCTGGTGTTGAGCCACTTGTCTGTTTACATGGCATTACACTGCCCCTGTCACCTGACTACAGTAGCTCCAGCTACTAGAGGGAAATCTGGTAGGGCTAGAGCTCCATGACTCACCTGCATCACTACAGCCCATCTGAGCCATCTAGGTGACATGACACTGAAGCACCTCTGTTCTCCCCAGACAAGCCTAGTGTGAAGATCATCAAGGAAGCATTTGCAGACTTCGCAAGGTTCACATGCATCAAGTTTGTTCCATACTCGTACCAGAGAGATTTCATCTCTATCATGCCGATGTCTGGGTTAGTATTGAGCCTGAGCGGATAACTTAACTGCCTCCGAGGTAGTGCAGTAAAACCTCTCGCTTACTTCCTGCTCATGCATCCAGGCTTTACCTTGTGGTTGTCCCATGCTGCCTAAGCAAACTCCTCTTTGGCTGGTATCCATCAACCCCTCATCTGAAGTTTGATTCCCCTTCAGTAAAATTCCTGAAGCAAGCCCCAGCTCCTCCTAAGAAGCTGGGGAGTGGCACAGAACTCTCTGCTGGAGAGAGAGCTAGCAGAGACTCACTGGTGCTGTCCTACAACCCCCTGCTAGCCAGCAGCAAGAACATCATCTGGGCCCTTTAGTACCAAAACATGGGTTCCTCCTACTTGAGCTGTAGGAGAAGTTGTAGCCTCTTTATCCTCTGGACAAGACACTGGAGGGGGCCATGATGTTCCTAGCCAGCGTAACATCCCTCTTCTCCCAGGTGAGAGCAGCCCATCCAACATGCTGGAAGGATTCACATTCAGCAGGGACTGAACTGGGGAGCTTGGCACTGAAAGCACAACTGAAGTGCCTGAGCAGCACCACCACCCCTCTGTAGGTGGATCTTCCAGTGCCAGGGGTGATCCCTGCAGTCCTAGGAACTCAAGTCTAAACTCTTCTCCCCAGTGCAGGAGCCCTCAGCTGTCTTTCTGCTCATGTAACCCCCACCCCTCCTCCTAGCCCCCAAGCTCTTAGGCAAAGAGCTTGCCAGCCATGTGACAGAGCAAGAGGTACCATGGATGGGGTGGAGGTGGCTCTGTTCCCTGAGCTGGGTCAGCAGAACTCCTCCTGAGCTGAATGGCAAAGCTGTCAGATGGGGCAACTTCTCCAATGCCAGGACAGTCTCTAGCTTGACTCTGCCCCTTCTGGCTTGTATAGATGCTACTAGCTCTCCAACTGGACCAGTCTGAAGTTCAGATCCTGCCCTTGGTGGGATTTACACTGGTATAACCAAATCAGGGCAGTTCCTGATGTGTGGAAGCTGCATGGATGGATTAAGTTCTGCAGCCTCCAGCTTTCCTGCCTTAGTCATGTTGCAGGGGCTGCTCTGCTTGGCAGTGTGCCCCTCCCCTTCCCTGAACATCTGTCTCTGGTTCACACTAGGTGCTTCTCCAGCGTTGGACGCACTGGTGGGATGCAGGTGGTCTCCCTAGCACCTGCTTGCCTCAGAAGGGGGAAAGGGGTGACTCTGCACGAACTCATGCATGTGGTGGGTTTCTGGCATGAGCACTCCAGGGCTGACCGGGACAAGTACATTAGCATCTCCTGGAATGAAATCTTGACTGGTAAGTCCTCCCCTCTGCTGCCCATTCCAGATGAGCTCTCCTGAAAGCAACCAGTCTCTTGGAGAAAGATATTGCAGAAGTTGGAAGTAGCTTGTTTCCACTCTGTACCTCCATAGCTGATCAAATGTATTCCTTTGGGGAAAACGGAGGGAGTCTCCTTCTAACCCCACTGCTAACACAGCCCACGTGCCCACTGCTGGACACCTGGGATCTCCAGCGTAGGATGGTGGTATTGCATGTAGAAAGAAACTCCAGTTTCCTTTGGGTGGGAGTACATGTGCAGAACAGATTCCAAAACCTGGAAACATGTCAGTAGGAGATGCTGGACTTTAGAGCCTTTCATTAAGGACAAAAGCCACTTAGAATAAGCATTGCCCCAGTCTATCTAGATACCAAACAATCAAAGTAAAAAAAATTTCATGTCATGCCAATTTAACTGCATCCCACTGGTCTCTTGTGCCATGAGGGACCAGAAGAGCTGCAATTGTACAAGGCAAAACTGATGCCCTTCCAAGTGCTGCTGCTGTGCAGAGGGTACTGCAAGTCCCAGTCCATTCTCCATGAGGCTAGGGGACTAGGCTGTTGGAGTAGATCTGTTACACTCCTCTTGCCTTACAGGTTTTGAAATTAACTTCATGAAATCCTGGAACAGCAACATGTTGGTGAACTATGACTATTCCTCAGTCATGCACTATGGCAGGTAAGCACCCCACACACACCACTCGTGGCAGTGCTCCTGAAGCTGCCAGCTTGTTCTCCAGAACTTCTGTTCTCAGTTAGCTTTTAAGGATGCAAGTAGAAACCACTCTTAAATGTGGAAGAAGTGTAAACCAATGCAGTGGTGCCTGCCTGAGTCTGCAGAGAGCCCAAAATAGTTGAGGGGCAAACTGCCCCATTCATCTGAGATGTTGACTCAGGTTCCCAATGACTATAACAGTGCTAACTATTTCACTGCTATCAAAGCATATAAAAGTCATGTTCTCTCAGCTGCAAGTGGCATGTCAAATTAGTGTCATGAATGGGTGGTGCTTGGGAGGGAGCCGCCTCTCTATCAGAGCCAGGAATAGTGCCTCCTTCAGGAACAGAAGGAGAATAGGGAAGCTTCTAACAGCCTCTCCAGTTACCTTGCCTGGTATTCTGAAGCTACCTTTTCACCACTACACTCAATGTAGGACACACTGCTTGGAAGATCGCTGCTTCTCCATGAACTACTTGGCCTCCTGACAAATTATTCCTCACGTCTTAATTCTAGGTATGCCTTTAGTATGACTGGCTTGCCCACCATCATACCACTCTCCAATCCTTACGTTGCTCTTGGACAGAGGTGGAATCTGAGCAGTTCGGACATTGCCAGAGTCAACAAACTCTACAAATGTTCTCCAACTCTGACAGAATCAGGTAGGGAGGAGCTGGCTGCCTTCTGTGCCTAAAGGGCTCCCCTGGGGGAGGGCCATAGTGCATTGTGGGGGCAGTAATGCTTCAAAGCACTTTGGTACACACCTTTTGTAAGTGCCTGGGGAGTGGGTTCTCTCCTGTGGGAACAGCTAGGTTTGGGGAGGTGGTAGGGGCCTGAAGGGGAAGGGGTGGTGCAGGATCAGGGCCCACATCAGAATGGGGGTATGGATGCACTCTGGATTACGGTGGGTAATTATCTACAGAACAGATGCTACATTAGCCCATCCTATAGAAGTAGTAACATGCACTTGGCATTAGAGTGCCCTGCACCCATCCTTGGCATGTTGCATAGCATGACAGTTGAGACAATGTAGGTGCACAAATGGATCTCTGCTAAACAACTTCTTTCCAGAAAGCCCAACTGAAAGTACTACCCAAGAGAATATAATGGACTTCCTCTCTAACGAGCTGGAACCTTGCCCAACAGAAGGGGAAATCAAAGTATCCACCCCCTCTCCCACTGCAGGAGCTGCCTCTCCAGGAACCAAACCCCCTGAAACAGTCCAATCTGCAAGGAGGCCCTCTAGACAAATGACAAGTGCACCCACAGCAGGAACGGAGGAGCTCCTGGGCAGAACTGCAACAGATGGTGAAGGCCTAAATGTCTCACTGGCTGAACACCCCATAATGGAGTCAGAGATATTTGAACCTACAAGGCTGTCTACCCATGGCATAACTTATCTGGAGGCTACTGGGAAGCCCCCTCCCAGTCACATGGAAATGGGGACTGTAGGTGCTGAGGGGAAACCTCTGATTCCTACAGGGGAAACTTCAGTCCTGGGCACTGCTTCCATTAAAGAGCCTGACTTTACTACAGTAATGGCCCCTCCTGCTTGGCTCTCAGAAGTGACAAGTCACCATGGGAAGACAGCAGAGGGAATAGGTACTACTAAAATTCCTACAGATGCTCTTGCAGGGCTTGAATTCCCAGAACTGGTATCTCCTGCAAGAGTAGCCCCTGTGGAGACAGGGGGCACCAGGCCAAGTGATGTGGGAATAGTAGAGACTACAAGCATCCAAGGAACAGAGCTGGCCTATCACTCTACCTATCTGGTACAGAAGGGGCCCTCTCCAGCAACTGAAGTTGGAGTGGTGACCTTGTCTTCAGACCAAACACAGTCTCTGGAGAGTCAAACTGAGCTGGCCACAGTAGAGATCACCAGCCCCTCAGAAGAGAGTTTAGGGACCTATACAGCACCTCTATCTCTGGGACCAACACCCCCTGAGCAAGTACATGCCACAGAAACCCCACATCCAACCAGCACTGAGAAATGGACCACGAACCTAGCCAGACTGAGTGCCAAATCCATAACCACCATGGCACCCACCAGGACCAGGTCTGCCCCAACTTGGGAGACTCCATCTGTAGAAATGGAGACTCTCACTGTGAAGTATGCTACAGAGCAGACTTCTCTGCTACCCCCTGTACAGAACTGGACCAGCAGCCCAACTAAGCAGGGAAACCAGTCTGCAAGCAGCCAGGCATACAGCCCAGGGAGTCATGAGCAAAGCACCATTGCCATTCCTACCAGTGGCATTACAGAGACTCAGCCCACAGAAGTGATGCAACCTACATCATTAACTACCTCCTTTGAGATGGTTCAGAACCACACAATTTACCCAGTGGACATAAGAGTGCATGGGGCCACAACTAGGCATAAAAAAGGTACAGCCTTGTCTTCATCAGGAATGGAAACCTCCTATAGAGTGCCTCCAACAAAAGCTACCACCTCCATGGAGACCCAAACTGAGGTGGGATTTGTTGAAGCCACAAAAATCAAAGCCAGCCACCAACATGGTTCTCCTAGCCTAACAGAAGGGACTTACTTTCCGGTGACCAAAGTGAAAGATGCTGAGTATGCTACAGAAGCAGAGACCCTTCCAGCAGATTGGGGCTCCCAAGCCTCTGAACCAGCTGGGCTTGGTATGCAAGCAACTAAAACCAACTACAGAAATAAAGAGAGGGTGCACATTAATACATTATTTCCTGTGGGAAGAACGTCACCCACAGCAATTGGACCCACATACACAACACCCTCTCTGGGGGCTTCTGAAAACCCAATAACAAACCCACTCAATGCAGGACCTGCAGAAGCCACAAGAAGTGAAGCTAGAAACCAAGCTACCTTGTCCACCAGAAACTCACCTGAGATGTGGGTACAAGAAGCCAGTAACACTCCTCCAAACAGAAGGCAAGAAGTAACTTATACACCTGCTTCTGTGTTAACATCCTCCACAGCAACTGAACTTAAATTCATGGAACATCCTACAAGGGAAGCATCAGGCCTGGAAATTCCAGTGGCTCAAGCCAGCAGACCAAGTGAGATGGTAATTACAGGAGTCTCTCCTGCTTGGACTGAAGCTAAAGACCAATTTAGCTCTTCTGCAACAAGGGAGGCAATGCTCTTTCCAATTAGCAGTGATACAGAAAAGGGGTATTCTCCCCAGATTATCCAGTCTCCAGAATCTGCCAGCCTACCTGAAGTGGAGATAAAGGAACACAGAGTCAGTTCCAGAATAGGAGCTGGACTAGTCACATTTATCCCTCCACAGTCAAGGTCAAGGACTGCACTGTTGCCATCTATAGAAATGCCTGAGCTGACAGTTCCTGAGAAACTGACCCCTGTCCATACTGAACCCACAACTAACCAAGCCCAAACTGGCATAAAAAATACCAGTCTCACCTTAGTGGGTGAGATGCCTTCCTTACAGACCAAGCCCACCAAAGCAGCATACCCTACAGAGGGACCCTCACAGCTGCAGGCTTCACCACAGACATTCAGCTCAATTGAACTAAGACTCAAAACTTCAAGTAAGCAACAAATGCATGCAGCTGTGACTTACGGGGGAAGCCTGACACCCCTGGAAGGGATCCCTACAGCTTCCATTGCTGCATGTGAGCTGTGCCGTTCTACAAAAGCTCTATCCGTTCAAGCTTCTGAGACACCTACACAGAGATCAGAGGAAGCTAAAGGAAAAACCTTCCCTCTCCCCCTGGGATCAACACTGCCTGCAGAAAATGAAACCTACATGAACCCTTATGCCATGAAGATGTCAGAGAGCCATGCAACTGAGCTACAAACTACAGAAGTGTCATTAGCTCAACTGCCTCACTCTATCCATGTAGAAGGAACAAGCTTTCCTATGGCCAACCCATCAGAAGCTGTGAACACTCCACTGCTGGGCACTTCTGAGACACCAACCACTCACTCCATTCTCACCTGGGAACCCATAGCCCAAGTAGTGTATAGAAAGCAAATGATGACTCGGTTCCCAAACACAAGCCCATTGAATGCAGAGCATTTGACTAAAATAGCCTCTTTGGAGGCCACAGCTGAGTCTGGGCTTGTGGAAACTACTGGCACTGGCATGGAAGCTAAAGAACATGGCTATCCAGTAGAGAGAACCTCCCCTCCACCAAGTGAAACCCCAGAAGTAACATTCCCTCCAGAGACTTCAACAACCAACTCTGCTGAAATGGGTGTTCAGGAAGCAATAAGCACCCACAGAGAGAGAACCAGATGGGTCAGTCACACCACTCACTCCGTAGAGAGACTTTCACGGGCTGCAACTGAACCCACATATGTCATGGTCTCTGAGGAACCTGGCAACCCAACAATCAGCCCAGACTATCAGACTGCAGAAGTGATCAGCACAAACACTGGAAACCAGCTGAGATTGTCCATATCCAGCAGCAGAACTGGTATAGGAGCCCAAGAATTCAAAGGTGAGCCCAGGAGGGAAGGAAGAAGACCCAGCCCTACACTCCCTTCTGTGGGAAGAATAGAGTCCCTAGAAGTGGTGCCATCTCTCAAGAGCAAAGTCATGCTTCTTCAGGTAAGTAGGCTCAAAGGCCTGTTCCCCTTGAAACAAACCCAGCCATTTCTGGGAATGAAATCTACTGAATCAGTGATGACCACAGAAGAATCTCCACTCGTCCCTGAGACCTGGCAGCTGCACCAAGCACAGACTGGCTCCAATGTTCCTGCCAAGCTTTCCCCAAGAACAGAGCAGGCCACAGGGGCTCATCCTGCTAGGGAGGAGACCTCTCCGCCCCCTCCACAACTGACTCCTGCCTCCCCTGAGTCAAACAAGCTTATGAGCTACAGAGAAACACATGCCACGCGCCTCCATGGAGAGGAGGCTGTGCCAAGTATCTTGGCTCTAGAGAGAGCTCCCTCAGCAAGAACTGCCAGTCACATCCCTCACCCTCAAGAGCCCTGGGGGAGCAGGACAAGCCACCCGGTTGGAATGGGAGTACAGGAGGCTGAGAGCTATAGAAAGAAAAGTAGTGAGTACAAGCATGCTCTTGCTCCTGCCAAGGAGAGAGCACCTGCAGTAACTGAACTGTCTTGTACAATGGTGCTGGTTGCAAAAGCAATAGAGGATCAAGGGTTGGAGATAGGAACGGAAGGTAGAGAGCAGCCTGCTGCCCCTACAACCGAGGGAATGGTACCTGTGGACACTAAAACAATAGAAGGTGTGTATACCTTTCCAGAGGCACTTGGGACTCAAACCACTAATGCAATTGAGGTGGTGGGTACAAAAGAAGCCCCAAGTAGCCCCAGAAAAGGGGGCAGAGGAGGAATTTCTAGGCTGACTCCCACTGGAATGCCAGCAGCAGCAATTGAGAAACACTTGGAACCTTCAAAAGTAACATCCACCACAGGGCGCCTTGAGACCCAAACCATCAGCCCCACTGAGTTGGCAAGGATGAAAATCCCATTCGGCCAAAGGAAAGCTTGCTTGACGACAAAAGAAATTAACTTGCCAGTGACTGAAGTGGCATATGGACAATTCCTGGAGGCTCTGACCAAAACCACTACCCAAGCTGTCCTGGGGCTGCAAGAAGTCCAGAAGAGCCCTAAAAAGCAGGGTAGGGTGTCCATGCCTGTAGAGGGAACTAAAGCCACATATGTAATGGCCTCTCTAGAGACACCCAAGGCCCCAGTAATAAATCCAAGCACTGAGACTGCAAATACTACAAGCATTGGTGCTAGTCTCCACAATACCTCACATGTTCTCAGCATATCAACTGAGATGAATGGGCAAGAAGCCACCAGCAGCCATGGACTGAGAAAGGGAGGACACCCCTACACCGCCACTCCTGCTGGCACGTGGCCTGTAACAAGGGAGTCAGAACATAGAGGGCATCCTACCAAGGAAACCCTTGTTCAGGAGACACAATCCATCAGCCCACATTGGAGAGGGGCTACAGAAACCACTTCCACTCAGACCAGAACCCAAACTCTCTCTAACACTGAAGAGGGAACTCCCATTGCAGACACGGCTACTGAAGTTGTGCATTCCACCAGGGTAATGCTGCTTCTGGAGGCTCCTGAAGATAAGACTGTTGGCCTAAAAGAGGTGGAAAAAGAAGAAACTAGTAGTTACAGAGAGGAAAGTGGTCTGTCTACTACCCATCCTCTGCCTTCAGATACCCTAAGCACTGAAACTGAGCAAGTGCAGTCTACACAAGTAAATGAGCAGATGCTTCCTGAGAACTGGCCCACCAGGCGCCCTGAACAGGGGACAAGCAAACCCACAACTAACACAACCCGAACAGGTGGAGAATATACCAGTCTAACCTCAATGGGTGGGGTGCCTTCCCTAGAAGCTGTGACACACTGGTTTGATCTTGCAGAGGGAATTTCACTGCGGCAGGCTTCACCCCACCAAACTTTCAGCCCAATTGAATTGCAAATCAAAACTATAAGCAGCCAAGAAACACCTGCAATGATCCTCCACAGGGAAGAATATGGCCAAACACCTATGTCCACCGAAGGGACGCAACCTGCCGAAATGAAAGCTTTAGAACTACTAGGGCTTTCTACAAAGACTGTATCCACACAGTCTCCTGAGACCCCAACACCGAGACTAGAGGAGGTCAGCGTCTTCCACAGAAAGAAAGGCCGAGGAAAACCCTCTCCTCTCGCCATAGGAACAACACTGTCTGAAGAAAATGAGACTTACATGGCATCTTCTACCAAGATAGCACTTGGTATGGAAGCTTTAGCAGGTCAAACCACCAGCCAAACTGAGCTGGGAATTACAGAAGTTTCACTAGTGCAACTGCTTGGCTCTCCTACACCTGTGGAGAGAACTAGCTTTCCAGGGGCTGAGGCAACCGAAACTGTGAATAAAGTTCCCAGCAACGGTACAGAGACTCAAACCATATTCCCAGGTGAGACCAGGGAACCAATTCCAACAGCAAGGACTCCATCTGCAGGAACTGAAGCCACAAGACCATCTTATTCCACCACAGTGAAGGCTGCTGAGACCCCTAGCAGCCCAAGTGAGAGGAGGGGGTACACAGCTACACATGGCTATAGAAAGAAAAATGGAGAACAAGCCTATACCCATTCTCCTATTAGAAGCATGTCTTCTGCAGGAAGTGACACAACTCCTACCAGTCCCTCCCTGTGGCCTCCCTACTACCAAACTGCACTGGCTTCCACAGAGCCTGTGAAGACTCAAATGGAGTCTGGAGCTCCATCTCCTGTTGGAGGAATTCTATCTAGAGAAGTGGAACCTACCTATATTGGATCTTCTCTTGAGACCCAAACCCCAAGCCCACTAGCAGGGGGCAAAGGCAGGAAATACACTCTCTCTGCTGATGGAGGTGTAACACCAGTGGGTCACTGGGATGTGGGAAACAAAATCTCTGCCCTAGAACAGGACTCAAGTCTATCTGAGAAACAGGCTATCAACACCACCAGACTGGCCAATGGTGAACGGTCAACCCCACAAGCACAGGCTCACCGAGCAAGCACTACCACCAGCTCTGCAGTGGGAGTGATGCCGACACCAGGCACTAAAGAAGCACATGGCATAAAAGTGACTCAGTTGAAACGGGCTTTTCGAAAGCACCCCAGTGACCTGTTTGCAGTGGACCCAGAGCTCCTACACCTTGTTGGCAAGAGGTCCTTGCCAGATATAGGGGAAAGCCCAGCCCTGCCCCATGACAGCAATCCAGACCTCAAAGTGATTACTCTGACCCATGGGGACACACAAATGCAGAGTCCCCTGCTCTCAAACACTCTAGAAAAACTAAGGGCAAAGGTTCTAGAGGCATTCCAAAAGCAACACATCCTGTTGCCAGAGTTTCATGTGTCCCCTGTCACTGGATTATATCCAGCTGCAAAAGAGATCAAAAGTGTTCCTTGGCTTGAGACCAGTACCTCTGATTCTGCTCCTGACTATAAGCATGGGCTCTTTAGACCTAAAGAGCTTCTCTTGGGCAGGAAAAAGGCAACTAGCTTGGCTCCATTCCTGCTTTCTGCCAAAGCAGTGCAGGCAACTGCACCCCCTGCCATGGACAAGCCTATTGCAGCTCCTCTTCCCAGGAGGCCGTCTGGCTCTGGTAAACATGCCCATCACATCCTACCAGCTCAAAGGGCTACGGTGCAGCCTGGCTGGCAGGTCTGTGACTTTGAAAAGGACTTGTGTAGCTGGCAGCAGAGTGATACTGATGACTTTGACTGGATACTTGCTGGGGAGAGACCTTCTGCTAGATCAGCGATTGGTGGCAACCTCTCTGAAGAAACCCATTCTCCTCCCTCCAGGGGTAAGTTCTGCTATCTCTTGGCAGGTCTCTCGGCAGTGGGGTGGGAGTAACTGTGTGCCATGGGATCCAGGAATGGCCTGGTTCTCCAGCCCTTGTGGAGAGCAGACCAGGTACCACACAAGACATGAAGGCTTATCAGCCGAGTCATGGAGTCGAATACCAGGGGAGTCTGCATTGGGACAAACTGGTGTCCACAGCCATGGCAGCCTCCCCTTCTGGTGACTGGCAGTCTCCTCAGCAGGAGGAAAGGAGCCGTGCCAGACTGGGCATGCTGCCCTCTGACTAGCACTGCTTGGCTGATTAATCGCAGGGAAAGCTCCTGCTATTGCAAGGGAAAGGCCCCTCTTGTATGAGGGCTGGAAGTGCCCAGCCTTGCACTTGGTTATAGGCCTGGGAGGACCAAAGTAGCTGGTACAACTCAGGCATAGTCTCTGTGACCCCAGTCCTAGCAGTGACTTTGAGCATGGAAGCTGAGCAATGGGAAGAGAAGGGACTCTAACAAAACCCTAGAGTCAAGTAACCCAAATAGCCTCTGACTCCCATTTGAAGAACAGAAGTCTTAAGACCACACATTAGAAAGCAGGGTGTGGAGTCTAACTCCTGAGACTTTCCCAGAGGGCCTCTGGCAAAACTAGGGTGACCAGAGGTCCCGATTTTTATATGGACTGTCCTGTTTTTTGGAGCTCTTTCTTACATAGGCACCTATTACCCCCCCCCCCCCACCCCCGTCCCAATTTTTCACACTTGCTATCTGGTCACCCTAGGCAAAACCAGCAAAGATCAGTAACAGACTTGGAATACCAACTCTAAGTTCTGAGGCTTTCATGCATCCTAAAGAAATGCAAGGCATGAGCCATCCCCTAACTTCCTTTGCAGCTCACTTAATAGCTAAAACTTAGCGCTGCTTGCTCCCCAGGGACACTAACATGGACAGATACCCTCTATATGGGTGTCTATCTCTCCAAATGGAATGGGACTTCCACAGTATCCATATACTCAGCCCACCACAAGCCAGGAACTAGACTCCTGAAAGCCTAACCCTAAAGCCATTTGGAGGATGCAAATTCACTTCTGGGTTACAAAACCCTTAGCCTCATACATGGCTGAATTACCAGCTCTTCCATGTACCTTGTTCAATCTTGTATACATGCACTGACATCTGAGCTGTCTGCTTGCTACCATGGTAGGAAGAAATTCCCTAAACAGGGGAGGGGCAATCGGGGAGGATTACTACATTTGATTCAACTTGTCTTCCACCAGGCGGTTACATCTCCCTGAAGTCCCCTTCTGCCAGACAAACCACAGGACATAAGACTTCTCTAATCAGCCCCATCCTGCAAAGGATTGGATGCATCCACTTCTGGTACAGTCCCCTGGGCTCTGTCATGGGTAAGCTTGGCCTTGTGCCTCTGACAAGGCTTGAGAGAATGTAAGACTGACTAAATAATACACTGGCAGCAAGCTCAGTCTTAATCAGCACCTGCTCTACGACATCCTGGCTGAGGGCTTCCAGCTGGGGAAAGGAGGTGGGGCAGGACTGGCCCCTGAATTCTGAGCACAGCACTGCATGGCTTTGTCTGGAGCTGTAACAGATGCTTCCCATATTGGGCCTTTGGAAAAGCTCCCGCAGAGGCCTAAGCTTGTGTCTAGATCAGTGGCTTTCAAACTGTCAGGACCCCAAAGTGGGTTGTGACTCCCTTTCTAATGGGGTCGCCAAGGCTGGCGTTAGACTTGTTGGGGGCCAGGGCTGAAGCCTGAGCCCCACTTCCTGGGGTGGAAGCCCAAGGGCTTCAGCCTTGGGTGGTGGGACTCAGGCTTCAGCTTCAACCTTGGGTGGCAGGGCTGAGGTTACAGGCCCCCCACCTGGGGCTGAAGCTTTGGTCCCCCTTCCTGGGGCCATGTAGTAATCTCAGTTGTCAGATGGAGGTCACATTGCGATGAAGTTTGAGAACCCCTGGTGTAGGTGATCCAGGGAGCCACCATGTATCCCATGCACACAATGCCTTTTTGCTGTTTGGTGTAAGCACATGGTATGTCTAGTGGTGGCCACTAATACTAGCTAAACACTAGCAGTTTATACCTGAGCTACAACATGGTGGAAGTGACTATTCCCATGAACCAAAGTAGCCCATAACTCTCATCTGCAGGGGGCTTTAGGGAGGGGACAGGGACCATGTTTGGTTTGTTACTGGCCTTTATCGGCATCTATAGCCCATTGGCACTAGTTGCTTGAATTCTCTCACCAGGCACAATAAACATCTATATCAAGTTGACAGATGCCCCTGAGTGGCACAGAATCTGGTCTGCCAAAGGGCAGCAGGGCACAGACTGGCATCAAGTAGGCATGGAGGCCTCTGAGTCACAGAAGCTGCAGGTGAGAGCCCCTCTGGGTTGGTCTTAAGTCTCAGCTATTCTATTTCCTTCTATCTCTGGGTGGGGAGGGAGGAAGCCATGTGGTGATCAGGAGGCTCTTTAGGAAGATGCCTGGTAGCTTCAAGGGGAAAGGCTGTGCCCACTCCGTGCTGTCACCTACAGATCCCCAATAGAGAAGGCTGCAGGAACTAGGTATGTGCCATAAACAGCAACACTTCCTGCTGTTGGCACTCCTGGAGCCCAACTCAAAGCCACAATCTACTGACCTCTCTCCTCCTGCAGGTGATGGTGGAAGGTGTCATTGGCCCGGACGCAGGGAGTGATGTTGGCATTGATGACCTGTCTGTCTGTGTGGCAGAGTGTCGGGGAGGCTGTGACGAGCTGATTGCTTGACATGAAAAGTGAAATGAGCAACCAACTAAATAAAGCTTTTAAAGTGCAAAATGCCCCAGAGTCTTTCATGGGGCTGGACTGATCAAACCTTGGTCAACTTGGGCTCATGTGCCAGCACCCTGGAGGGGTCTGTGTGCTCACTGAAGCTTGAGTTTCTGACTGCTGGGTGAGTGGCCCTGGGAGGAAGGTCAACTGGGCTCTTAGACTGGGAAGGTGGTGCTTAGCCACTCAGCTGAGTGGCTCATCTCCTCAGCCCTTGGGAAAGCACTGCAGGGGTTGGACTCATTGCTGGCATAAGGAGCAATTAGACCTGGTTCAGCTTTTTCCATTTCACCCTTTTCACAAAAGGACCTTTTCAAACATGCTACAGTGGGGGGAAATCTTCCTCTTCCTAAAAATGTTCAGCTTTCAAAGGGGTGGGTGAAAATCAACACATGCCTACCGAGTGCCTCAGTTCTACTCAAACTGAACTTCTTGGGGGGAGACAAGAACTGGCCTCTTGCCCAGATCTAGAGCTGTCTGAGAGCACAGGTAGCTAGCCTAGCTTCAGGCCAGTCATGTTGGAGTGGGATCTGTCAGAGGCAGGCTTGGCTTGTCTGCTCAAAGCAGTGAGCTAGCCAATGCTCCCACCCCCTGCAGGCATAGTTCACATCCCTCTGCCATTGTTCAAGGCTGCTTGCACACCGCGATACTCCAACAAAAGGCAAGAGACCTGGCCTTGACTAGCTCCAGTTGGAGTGTAGACACTAAACAGGTTAGTTAACATCAAGGGACTGGCACCAGAATAGCTACAATGTTTTCCTAGACTTTAAGGTCAGAAGGAACCATTATGATCATCTAGTCTGACCTCCTGCACAATGCAGGCCACAGCATCTCACCCACCCATGTATCAAACCTGTCTCTGAGCCATTGAAGTTCTCAAATCATGGTTTAAAGACTTCAAGTTGCAGAGAATCTTCCAGCAAGTGACCTGTGCCCTACACTGCAGAGGAAGGCAAAAAAAAAACCAACCCAGGGCTTCTGCCAATCTGCTCTGGAGGAAAATTCCTTCCTGACACCAAATATGGTGATTAGCTAAACCCTGAGCATGTGGGCAAGACTCACCAGCCAGACGCCCAGGAAAGAATTATCTGTAGTAACTCAGATCCCACCCCATCACAGACCATTGGGCATATTTACCACTAGTCAAAGATAAATTGCCAAAATTAGGCTATACCATCCCCTCCATAAACTTATTAAGTTTAGTCTTGAAGCCAGATATGTCTTTTGCCCCCACTGCTCCCCTTGGAAGGCTGTTCCAGAACTTCACTCCTCTGATGGTTAGAAACCTTCATCTAATTTCAAGTCTAAACTTCCTGATGGCCAGTTTTTATCCATTTGTTCTTGTGTCCACATTGGTACTGAGCTTAAATAATTCCTCTCCCTCCCTGGTATTTATTCCTCTGATAGTTATATTTTTGAACTGCAAGGGCCTGTTTCTTAGCAGGGTTTGTCTAGGTGGGGTAAAGTGTTTGAGTTTAGGCTGAGCTTTGCCAGTTTGTATTAACCCCTGCCCATGCATCTGAACCAGCAAAGAGTGACTGGCTTTATGGAATAAAACAAGGGAGCTCACCTGGTTTTAAACTCGCCTTCATGTAGATACAAAGCTAGAATCTCTGCACACTGGCAGGAGGTGAACTCATACTGGTGGCTTCAGGTTCACCTCAACCAGATGAACTGTTGCATCTGATTAGCCCTCTCCATGCTTGGGTCTTAAACACCTTAGCTCCCACGTTCTCTACTATCCCTGGTGTACTGCAGTGTAGACATGTGGGCTTGGGCTGAAGCTTGGGTGCCAGGAGCCTGGGAGGGTTCTAGGGCTCAGGCTGCAGCCCAAGCCTGCAGGTCTATACCACAATTAAACAGCCCATAAGCCTAAGTCAGCTGTGGGTTTTTAAGTGCAGTATAGACATACCCAGTGTAAGAACCACTGGCTTAACTCAGAATTTTGTTCGACTTGTAAACATAGGTGCTGACTCCGTGGGTACTCTGGGGCGGGAGCACCCACGGGGAAAGATTAATGGGTACTCTGCACCCACCGGCAGCCAAGCTCCTCTCATCCTCCCCACCCCACCATCTCTTCCTCCCCTGAGCATGCCATGTCCTCGCTCCTCCACTTACCTCCCAGCGCTTCCTACCCAACCGTTAGCACGCTCCAGGAGGGAGGAGGAGGAGGGGGAAATGTGGCGTGCTTAGGGAAAGAGGTGGGGCTAGGGCAGGGATTTGGGGAAGGAGTTGGAATAGGGGCAGGGAGGGGGTGGAGTTGGGGTGGGGACTTTGGGGAAGGCATTGGAATGGAGGCGGGGGCAAGGGAGTCAAGCACCCACAGGAAAGAGGGAAAGTTGGCGCCTATGCTTGTAAACATGCTTATTGACCAACTTCTGATCTTGCATACACCAGTGTAGATCTGGAATAAATGCAGCACAATCCAGATTTATTCCAGTTTTACACTAGGATAAGTCAGGTGAGAATCTGGCTCATTTTCCTCTTCCCTAGTAGTATCGAGGAAACTCTAAGGGGACTCTGACAGGTGCAGTAACATGCATCCTGCACCAAGGGGGATGGGCTTGTAGTCCCTCCACTTTCTCTGGCACCTGCCAAGATTTCCTTTATCTCACAGTGGCATAGGTATAGCCGGCTCCCTTACAAGGTCAGATCTTTCCATGCAGGAGCAGTGGGTGCTCCCTAAAAGTAGGGGAGGGGACACTGGTGCCCAAATCATGGCCCTGCCCCCGCTCGCTCCTCTCCCTCCCCCCCCATCACTTGCCCTTACAGTCAGTAAAGAGGGAGAGTGTAGCCATCCCACTTTTAAAAGGGCCCGCTTTGTTCTGGCACTCCTGTTTCAGTGCCCATTTCCACAAAGACAAAAATGTTCACAACAAGGTGCCTAACATTAACTACTTAAATGCATAAGAACAGCCATGCTGGGTCAGAGCAGGGGTCCATCTAACCCAGTATCTTGTCTTCGGTGCTAGATGCTTCAGAGGGAATGAACAGAACAGGATCAACCCTCTGTTTCCAGTCCTAGCTTCTGGCATGCAGAGGTTTAGGGACAACCAGAGCATAGGGTTGTATACCTGACCATCTTGTCTAATAGTCATTGACGGACATGTCCTCCATGAATGTATCTAATTCTTTTTTAACCCGGTTATATTTTTGCCCTTCACAACTTCCCCTGGCAACTAGCTCCAGTTTGATTGTTCATTATGTGAAGATGTACTTAGGTTTGTTTTAACCCTAGGGCGGGGAGCCTGACCCACAGGAACCCTAACCCTAGGGAGGGGAGCCCTACCCATAGGAACCCTAACCCTAGGGTGGTGAGCTGAACCTAGAAGAGCCACCTCCTTCCCCTTCTCCCCCCACCAGGGGCACGCAGTGATGTGCCAGCTGCCGGCCGCTTCCGGGAGCAGCGTGGGGCCACCGGCCACGGCATGCAGGCAGCCTGCCTGCCTGCGCCCTGCTGCATTGCCGGCCGGGACTCGGGGGCAGATTGTCAGATATTTGTCCTGCATTTTGGGGGGCCCCCTGTCATTGGGGGCCCCATGCCACCGCATGGTTTGTTTCATAATAAATCCACTCCTGACCTGGGCTGATGCCTCCTTGGATCTTTTAAAGGGTATGAGGGTGGGGGATCATGGCGTGGCCCACATTATAGCTAAGCCAACTCCTCCTTGCCTTAGCAGTCTGGGGCAGCCCAGGAGGCTAGATAAAGCCAACTGGGTGGGGTCCCAGCAGGCTGCTGTGCAGAACCACAGGGAAGGCCAGGAGAGGTGTGGCTGGGTGGGAACTGTTGGAGGGGTACACCTAGTGAAGCTGCAAGAGGGAGATTTAGATATGTAGAGTGTGGGGAGACCCAGGGGGAGACGGCATCAGTCGGAGACCAGGTGGTTAGGAGCTAGAGCACAGTCATGAAGCTATAGCACAGCAGCAGTGTCCCAGCTGGGGAAAGGAGTGACCATGAAGCAGGTCCAACAGGAAGGGCCTTGAGCAGTCAAAAGGGATCAGCAACTAACCCAGGCTGTTCTGCCTGTGACGGGATGAGGCTCCAACCAAGAAGCTATTTCACCTGGGAATCGAGTGCCAGGGCAAGAAGTGACAGCAAACTACAGGCCAGTGGATTGGGCCGATGGCAGCTGGGCTGCACAAGGAGCAATGGATGGGGATACTGGGCCGCAGCAGGTGGGATCCAGAAAACAGGAAGGGCTTGTGGATTAACAGTGTGGAATCCCCCATCGTTGGGGATTTTTATGTTTCAGAGTTAACACTGAGATGAATGGGGAAGTTCCTGCCTCTGTGTCTTGGGAAGAGCTGTGCTATGTAAAAAAAAGCCGTTGCTACTCCAGCGCTCCCTTTCACCTTCTACCCCGCTGTCTGCATAGTAGAGCTCAGTCCTGGTTCTTGACTGTAGGGCTTTGTATAGCATCAGTAGTGTTCCCCAGGGTCCGTGCCCTGTAGCAAGCCCAGCAGAAATTTGTGGGCAAATAAATAGAAAGGGGGAAACAAAGTTTCAAAGGCATTTTCCAGCAACAAAGCCGTTCTGTGTTCTCATTTCTATAGACTTCGTTTCAGAGTTAACACATCCACGGACAGAGATGTGGCAGGAGACATGCATCAGAGCTACTGTTTCAGGCTCTCTGCAGACTCAAGCACAGGCTGCCCCAGATTGGGGAGGGCTCCTGGTGGCAGACTAGTCTGGGATGGGATGAGAAATGACACCTAGAGAATGAGAGTGAAGCCGGGAGGCAGGTGTGGCTGGGGAAAATTGGGGGCCAGGCCAGTCCCCCCCCCCCAGGTTAGCCCCATCCCAACACCCTCCCCTAACTCCACCAAACCAGCCCCACCCAATGCCCTGCCCCCAACCCCTGGTCCAGCCCCCGGTCCAGCCCCCTTCCTATGCCCCACCCCCAATCCCCTAGGCTAGCCCCCTTCCGACAGCGGCCCCCAGCTCTATCCATTTAGCT